CCTGTTACCCACAAAAATAATAATAGAAAAATGTAACGAATACAAGTTTCCAGTTTTCCTAGCATTTGTAGACTACGAAAAAGCTTTCGATACCATAGAACACACGGCCGTAATAAACGCAATGCAAAATTGTAGAATAGGCAGCAGATATATTAACTTAATAAAAGAAACTATGAACCATTACCTGTACCATTAAACAGGGGAGTCAAACAGGGAGATACTTTATCAAATATAAGGGAATATAAGGGAATAAACATAATGGCCGCTACCTCAGTAATCTACGATTTGCAGATGACATAATCCTGATAGCTACTGACCTACAAGAAATGCAAACCATGCTTTTAGAACTACATACCGAATCTTCTAAAATAGGACTGGAAATGAATTTAAACAAAACAAAAGTCATGCACTCCGAAGACACTGTGACAATAATAAACGATAAAGTTATAGAAAAAGTTGAAGAATATATATACTTAGGACAAAAATAATACTAAATAGAGAAATTCAAACTGAAGTAATAAAAAGAAGAAGAAAGTTAGCTTGGGCAGCATTCGGTAAACTGAACTATATACTCACAAATCAACAAATTCAATTACATCTTAGATCTAAAGTTTTTGATGCATGCATTATTCCGATATTAACTTATGCGGCACAAACATTGACAATCACAAAAAAGAATATGAATATACTTAGAGTCACTCAACACGCGATGGAAAGAACAATGCTAGGTATATCACTTAAGGACAAGAAAACAAACACATGGATAAGACAGAAAACCAAAGTCACCGATGTGGTGCAAAAATCATTAAAGTTGAAATGGGAATACGCTGGACATGTAGCTAGGAGCGATCTAAACAAATGGCACAGATCAATTTTAACCTGGAGACCATACCAACACAAAAGACCCAGAGGCAGACTTCCTATGAGATGGACAGATGATCTGAAAAGGACTGCCGGGAAAAATTGGCTACAAGTAGAGTACAATAAAAAACAATGGAAAGGAAGACTTGAAGAGGCTTATGTTCAGATGTGGACGTGAATGGCTAGACGAAGAAGAAAAAGAAGATTAATGTACTAATTGAACTATTGAGTTATGTAAATCTTAATAATTCATTGCACCTCCTCAAAATTAAAGCAGTTTATTGTTTCTCACTTCACAAAAAATCAGTAAATTGGAATAAAACACAAATTTTTAACTTTGAATCAATCAGAAAATGATTATAATAAAAATAACTAAGATAAGAAAAAAATAATCTGAAAGTTTTTCTTCTTGTTTGACCCTTTCCATATCTTCGTAAAAGTTTTAAATTTGAAACTGTATCCACTCACTCATTATGGGGTTCCATAGGCCTTGTATTTTCAAAGAATCGATTTTTTGATTCCGTATAAAAGTATCGAATTTCAAAAGCATTCACACCAAATTTGAAGTAAATTCGAGAGTAATATTACCGAAGTTATAGAGATTTGAATACCGCGTGGCAGGTACGTCAGCTCTGTTTAAAAACTCGTTTTTCTTGAGTGATTTTCATTTGGTCGATCCGTTCTTGTTTATACGAAACAAATGTTGAGAAAAACGAGGAGAATCGAAAAAATGCTAAAAAATATTAGACAAACATTCATTCAAACTTATTTCAAAACTTTAAGATTTAGTTTTTTTTTAATCCCTAGTTCAATCACGAAAAAATAATGTAAAGATGAATTGTGCAGGGTTTCGAGAAAAACGCGTTTTATGTTTTTAAACAGGGAACATAACGTAACTGGGGCATGTAATGTGGATGGAACAAAATGACCCAGCTAGACAAACGCTCCTTCATAGACCCATTGGCCAGGGAAGAAGAGGAAGACCTAGAAGAAGGTTCCGTAATAACATCGAAGAAGACATGAGAAATATGCAAATACGTGCTTGAAAGAGGAAGGCGATGGATATTGATAACTGGAGAGAAATTCTTGAGGAGCCTTGAACCCACGTCTTGTAAAGCCAGAATGATGTTAATAATGAACTATCAACTCCGGTAATATTGCTCGAATTTTCTTTAAATTTGCGTGAATACTCTTGAAGTACTATACTTACATATGGGATAAAAAAAATAAATTGATTTTTTGAAAATAAATGACTATGTACCTAATCCCTTAATAGTCCAGTGGTCAGAGAGATGAATCCTAAAAATCATACAAACAAGCTGAATTTTACCGAGAATATTAATTTTGGAACCCCAAAAGAGATGCAAAAGTTTTCCACTTTTACCCACGGGCTTACAACTGAAATCCCCCTCGTATGGGGATAAAAACGAAAAAAATGATTCACCAAGAACCTGTTTTGTGTATAATGAACTGTTCTGTCAGAAACAATGCTTGATTGCTCTTCAGAATACAAAAAATATTACTTGAGGATCTTATATCGAGTGGTAGGTGATTAAATACTTTCTTACCAGTGTAAATAAATGATTTTTTAATTAATATAGAAGAGGGAATTGGAAGTGGAATAACATAATTTAGACAAGTGTTATAAGGGAATCTGTCTGAATATCCTCTTTATGGTTTTTAAAAATTAAGCAACCTAATTCAAAGATGCAAGAAAGTGTCAAGATACCATGTTTCCATAATAGATGCCTGCATGATGTAGGTACCAAACTTGACCTTGCATAAGTATCTAAGTGCTCTCTTTTGTAGCATAAAATTTCTACTGAAATGATGAAGAAAATAGCTACCTCAAAAGGCAATACTGTATCTCAAATTAGATTCAATCAGGGCCACATAAGCACTTTTTGCAATCTTGAAATCTAAATGGTGAGCAACTGATTTGGCCACAGAGCAACCCGATGATATCTTTTTGCTTAAACATACAGTGTGTTGCTCAAGTTTATTATCACTATAGACCCCTAAAAAAAAATTTGTTTATAGTATCAGAACAAATGCATTCATTGCCCCAAGTAATGTTGTTTAGATCATTCTTAAAAGAAATTGATTTAATTTTTGAAAAATTATTAAATGTCAAATTATTAGCTTCGCACCTCTCTAAGATTTTTAGCATATCAATACTAATAATCTTGTTCAGTGCCTTAGAGTTCTTGTTTTGTCATAAAATTGTGGTGTCATCTGCAAATATAGTAAACCGGGCATTAATGTCGAGATACTCCACAATCAATAAAGATATTACTCGAGTAACACTCATTGATCGATACAGATTTGTGCCTACAGAGGCATGGAATGACATAGCGCAGAAGATGGCAACACATCACCAGAAACTTAAAAAAATGGCGAAACATTTTAGAGCAAGCTAGGATCCACAGAGGATTGACAATCCAAAGATGATGATAAATCATATTTCAACTCTAATTCATGTAATTCCTCAGGAATAGATGGTTGAGCAATGGTCCAAACACCCTTTATTAACAAAGTAGTTGACTGTTTCCTTATTCAACTGTTTGTTTATTATATTATCTTTTATTTGTTGCATAATTATTGTCAGTATTTAAAAAAAAACAAGCAAAGAAAATGCAATGCTTTATTCAATAATTTATAACTTTGAAGCAAATCGAGAAATCAAAATGAATGAAAATTAATGTATACGGAATGACCCAAATTAGGATACTGGATAGTTTTAATTAAAAGTCAAAAGTTGTATTTCACTAGTGTATATCTGAAACCTAGATGATCGAAACATAATTCCGGCATTATTCAGAAAATCTCAATGTTGTAAATTATTCTGTGTAAAACATTAAAATCAAAAAATTTTAACATTTTAAACTGTCCCTGTAAGCATTATCAGATGATCGAAACATAATTCCGGCATTATTCAGAAAATCTCAATGTTTGTAAATTATTCTGTGTAAAACATAAAAATCAAAAAATTTTAACATTTTAAACTGTCCCTGTAAGCATTAAAAAAGAGAAAATTTAATGGTTTGTGATCTTTTAATTCCGGTATTAAAGAGTTTGTGATGCTTAACAAAAGTTGTCCAAATTTTATGACTATAAAAAATACTTATCTGAAACAGTTTTATGTGAGCCAAAAACTAATGTAGGAAATTGTTTCCTGATATCAATATTAATACCTACATTAAAAATATATATACTTTAAATATAATTATTAGTTTATGTTTATAAATATCATTTTTACATTTCTAAATATATAAGGAACAACAACAAAATGTTTTTTATTTAGTTTTTGTTGTAGGTTTTTCAAATTCTAAATTGAATACAAAAAGTGTTTACCAAACAAAACAAAAACAATTATTTAAAATACACTTTCAAGGAATATCGAGAATATACAGGTATAAATATGAATGTGGATGTTTAAAAACTTAAAGAATTTCTTTAAAAGAAGACATTCTCTTCATTACAAACATTGTCATGTAATCATATATTACTCAATCCCTTCAATATGCTCTTTGCTGCTTTTTCAGCTGAGACTGTTTTTCTTAATATACAATTATATTTTTCTTTTTTATGTTGTATTTAACCATATTTTTTAACCAAATATGAGGATATTTAAAAATGTATCTTCTGGTTTTGCTATCCTACCAATTATAAGGAAACATCAACTTTCTTATTCTTTGTCCTTACAGCTTGTAGGTATTCCGACCGTTATGATTTATTTTTGTCTCCAACCGGATTTACTAGAACTGCAAACAACTGGTGAACTTGACAATAAAAAGTACAAAAATAATTCCTGCTTAAGTGAAGCAAACAATTATTTGAAAAGTGCTTATTAAAATTCGTTTAACGGCAGTTTATTCCACTGCATCGGCGTATTATTAAATGAATAACGTATTTTTAACATAAAAAAATTATAGCTTTGTCTAGACTAGATGTTTAAATAAATTAGATTAAGAACAAAAGCGAAAATAATGGGGTCAAGACTACTTTCTCTTATTCACCTATATTTTGCACAACACATCAAATTAAAATTACAATCTAAAAATCAGCTGTTGCACAAAGAAGCTCCAAATATTGAAACAAAAAAATTCATGGGCAACTAAAAATACCTAGCTACTAACCTTTAACAGCAAAGTCTATTCGACTTCAAAGCAAAAACGGGAAATTTTAAAACCAACTTGATATTGTACACTGTGCAAACTGTTCATTTTCCAACGTTTTGAAAGAGAAACCGCAGCTGGTATGTCCGCAACCAGTCAATGAAATCCCCTTTTAACACTCGCACAACCTCAGAAACTCTGACTTCATGGCCATCTATTTATTTTTAGCTCCGAAGAGAATCGGTGATTGTACGACACTGTCCGAGCGTTGCTCTCTCCAGTCTATGGGGAGAGTGGAGCAAGTAAAAGTAGGATTTAAACAAAAATCATCATCATCTTGGCGATACAGCCCTTAGAGGGCCTCGACCTTCTCAAGCTTTCTACGTCATTGTATTCTGTCCCTTGCTTGCATTTTGTGTTACCCCATCCATCCACCTCAACTTTGGTTTACTCCGTCTTCTCATTCCCACGGGTTGCGCTGTTAGAATCTTTTTTATCATGTTTGATTCAGGGACCCGGGTACATGCCCACTGCATGCGGTTTCGCTTAATTATAGTGGTAATATCTTTACCACCAAACGTATACTTGTAGATATTCTGCAGTTCAAAGTTATATCTACGCCTCCATATTCCATTCTTACTGGCCGCTCCGAATAGCTTGCATAGCACCTTTCTTTCAAAAACCGATAGAGCGGATTCATCTGTTTTAGTTAGCGTCCATGCCTCTGATCCATATGTGAGAACGGGGATTATCAATGCTCTATATAGCCTTATACGAGTTTTTTTAGACAGACGTTTGTTAGCTAAGTACTTTTATAGACCATGATATCACCTGTTTGCAATTATTATTCGCCTTTTTATTTCCTCAGATGTGTTATTATTAGGGTTAACCGATGTCCCTAGATATATGAACTCTTTGACTGCTTCGAAGTTTTGGTCATTGATGATTAAATTTGCGTCAACATTTCCAGCTCTTGTGTTTGTGTTAGTCGCCATGAATTTGGTTTTATTTTGATTTATATGTAACCCCATTCGTTCTGCTGCTGCTACTAGCTCGGTTAGGATTTCCGCAGTTCTCGCCCTGGTTCTTGTTTTTATATCCACGTCGTTTGCATATGCTAGAATTTGGACTGATCTATTAAATATTGTTCTCCTGCTATCTAAATTAGCGTCTCGTACAATTTTTTCTAAGGCGACATTAAAAAGCTGACACGCCAGCACATCTCCATGCCTTAAACCCCTATGTATTTGAAATGGGGTTGACGAGTCGTTTTGAATCGTTACTGCTGATAGCATCTTCGCCATTGTCACTTTTATCAAACATATGAGTTTTTTTGGAATTCCTAACTCATTCATAGCGTTGTAAAGACTTGGTCTTAAGACACTGTCATATGCCGCTTTTAAAATCGACAAAAATATGATACATATCTATATTAAACTCTTGCACTTTTTCGAGGATCTGTCCACAGATCACCTGTCGTAATGTAAAGATCTGGTTAATGGTTAAACGTCCACGTCTGAATCCTGCCTGATATTCTCCTAGAAACATTTCGGTATGGCTTTAATCTTTCGTGCAGAATGTTTGACAATATTTTGTATGCTGTATTTAGGAGAGTTATTCTGCGGTAATTATTGCATTCCAGTTGGTTTCCCTTTTTGTGTAACGGGCATATTAAGCCTAAGCTCCATTCTTCCGGCATTTGCTTCTCAGACCAAATTTTACAAACAATTTCTCGCATCACCTTGGTGAGCTGCTCTCCACCATGCTTAAATAACTCTTATGGGATGCCAAAAAATAATAACAAAAAGTAAAAATATATTTATTGGTTATCAATTAGTTACCTAGCACTTAAATTAAAAGGTGGATTTTATCTAAATTTATTTTTAATTAAATCCCAAGTACCGAACATGAACTTGAATATTTGAGGAATAACTCCGTTTACTCCCAAAAGTATTCTCTGCTAATAGACGTCATCAATTGTCAAAACAGTAAGCGATTATTGGAAGTGAGGTTATGCAAACGTCAAAGTATAGTAAATATTTGTGGGAGTATGCAGAAAAACGATAAAAATGAATTTAATTGAAGAAAGAAAAATAGAGATATCAAATAAACTTAAGAAGGTAAAACCATTCATAAATTACATGGACAAATATTTATTTAAAACAGTCACTGTTTCAGGAGCAGGCAAATTTATTACTTTTACAAGAAAGATTGGCCAAAAGTGCACATCTAACTGAAGGAATTGGTAATATTTTAAACACTTTTGAACAGAGATTATCTCGACTAGAGGACACTATTTTACCAGTATATAATGAAACTGAAACTCTACGTAGAGCTCAATGCAGTAAGTTTAAGAATGTGTTTCATATGTTAAAATGTTTATTTGATATTTTGTAGATATTGAACCTACCTTGCATTTACTTGACAATGTTATAAGCCATTATGAGGTTTCCGGTGATGTTGAACTTATAATTGAGAGAGGACCAGGAGAAGGTGGAACTGATCTTCAATCGTACATACATGCTCTTGAAAGGCTAGCAGATGCACAAAAGTATTTTGAAAAAAACATACCACAGAGTGTTGAGTTGATAAATGTAGTAAGTTTTGTGTTGACAAAATATATGCTATAATCCAAAATATATATTTTGCTTATCTGCATTTTCCTTTTATATTCCCAAACCATTCAAGTTGTTTTATTTTATTTCAATTATTATCTTCATTTTTCTGTGTCTCCCATTGTTTTCCTTCCAATCATTCCTAGGAATTTCATTTTTATTGATGATAATTGATATTTATTAATGATCCTACATAGTGGCATTGCATTTCCTGTGAGCTATGTATAAATATTTTTTTTCATGATTTCATACTATGCTTCCAAGGTACTAAAGTTGTTACTTTTTTAAGTTATTGTCCGTTAATTTCTATTGGTCTATAATCATAGGTATTTTGTGTTGTTTCCTTTTAATAATTTCTCCAGTATACTTATATATACCTTAAAAATTGTTGTTGAAAGGCAAATGACTCTGTAGTTTTCTAGATTTTACTGGTCTCCTTTTTTAAAGATCAGTAATAATATATTCCTTTTCCCATTATTAAGGCAGTTTCTCTTCTATTTATACTTATTGTAATATTTCCAAAAACGATTTTTTTCTCCAAAAACAAGCCATAAACCAATTATGGCTTAGTATCTATTATATCTTTTGTATCAGGATAACTACATTTTCCATTATTTAAAGTCATCTAATTTTAATTATTAACAATTTCTCCCTTCAATTTACATATTACATGTTGTAGATTGTTTCCATTAACAAATTTATTGAAATTGTTTATAATAAAATATCATTCAAATATGTGATGGAAACTCATGTTTATAACATCTATCAATCAATGTCTGGCAGTGATGTTAATTTTTTAATTTTTTTGTTCAATATATACATTTATATAGATATAAAGCAGTTTTGTTTGTTTAATAAAAAAAAAACGAACAATCTCTATTTGATTGACTTGATGCCAATAAAAGTTTAAAAGCAAAACTATATATTAATGTTGGACATTTACATTGTTTAATCAATCCTACGAATTTTTAACTGTTTTTTCTTTATTTTTAGACTTCATTTTTTCATAAAGGTAGTGACAAATTGAATGCAGAATTTAAACTAATTTTGGATAAATATAACACTCCAATTTTACCAGTGGTACTACTTGATTTAATTAATTTAGATGGTAAGTTTTGTTACATCTTTCTGTTGAGATAAATAATAAGCTTCGGTGTAACAAGTAGTTATTTAAAATCAAAGGATGTAAAGAATTAGAATGCTTTTTAAAAAACTTTTATGGTAAGATTTGAGATTTAATAATATACTTCCCTTGAGTGAATATGCTTATATTTTTGTTTGTATTGGGATCTGGGGTATCATGCTGACAACAGTTTTTCCCCTGTATCATGTATACTATAGGCATGATGATGCTACACCTCAAATTTGAGGAGTGTAATAGTAGCAGAACAAATGCCACCATTGATTGATATGGCAGTTGTGGTTCACCTGGCTGGTGATTTGTTAATTAACCCTTATCGCATGAATTTTTGTTTTTTTGGCAAAAATAAATTCTCAGATAAGAATTTTAATTCTATTTTTACGTAAAAATATTGAAAAAAATCTAACTACGAGGAAAACTTGATTGAGGTGCCAAATATGGAACATCATGCAACAATGTAATATTAAAGTCAAACTATTTTGAAGCTACATTTATTTATTTATTTATCATATGGCATACAATAAGAACACATCATTAAAAAATCAATATAAAATGTTACATGAAGTATTACAAACGAACATCTAATGTATTATTAATATAATGTAAAACATTTTCGGTCACATTCAGGAACTCATCGAAAACTCCAGGGAATCGCCTTCAGGGACATTCTTCAACAATGTGACGGACGGTCTGTCGTTGCGCACCACAGTCACACTCAGGAGTAAGGGCTTTTCCCCATCTATATAAGCTGTCAGCACATCTACCGCTGCTTGTTCTTATTCTGTTTAGCGTTGTCCATGTATTGCGGGTCAGTTCAAAGCCTGGCGGTTTCTGATCGATACAGGTCATTTGATGTGCTTCCTGTGGTGAGTCGCTCTGCCATTGTGTTCTCCAAGCGTTGATCAGGTTGAAATGTTTCTGATGTAAGGAGTTGTCTCTTAGTAATGGAGGATATCTGGATGCTTATATAAGCGTCTATATTCTTTGCTATTAGTACGTGTCAGATATGGGCTGCCATGCAGCTACGACAAAAATTGAGTTAAAACATCAAAAAAAAAAATTTTTTTTTGGTTTGTGCCAATGTGGTAAAGGGTTAAGCGTAGTGTAGATTTGCAGGTGTCGCAGATACAGAACTATTTCATACTACTACTATTTCAAACTTGTAAAATTTGTATCAACTTGAAGGTAAAAATTCGATATTTTTTTATCAGAGTATCGTATGGGCCAAAATTAAAATGCGTTTTGTATTTTGCCGCAAATGAGGTCAGTTTTTATGAAGCTGTTAAATATATAAACGTTGCGCGATTTTTGCCATTTTTATAATTCTAATCTTCTTTATATGCCGTCTTCTACCGAAGGTTGCCGACCATCATACGATAGGTTTCTCTGTATTGTGCCGCATGAATTATGTTCGCAGCTTCTGGTATTTGAAACCATTCTCTCAAGTTTCTCAGCCAGGATTTCTTCTTTCTGCCCAAACCTCTTCTACCTTCAATCTTGCCTTCCACGATAAGCTGTAGCAGACTGTACTTATCATTACGGAACACATGGCCCAGGTATGACGCTTTCCTCCTTTTAACAGTTGTTAACAATTCCACCTCTTTACCCATTCGTCTTAATACCTCTGTGTTGGTCACTCTGTCTGTCCAAGGTATTCTCAGTATGCGTCGATACAGCCACATTTCTAGAGCCGCTAACTTCTTTATAGTTGCTGCTGTTAACGTCCACCCTTCTACGCCGTAAAGTAGCGTAGAGAGTACGTAGCATTTCGTGGCGCGCCATCGGAGGTTAATGCTTAGGTTGGGGTTGCTTAAGAGCTTTCTCATTTTGATGAATTTGGATCTTGCTATTTCAATTCGGATCTTAATCTCTACTTCTGGGTCCCACTTGTCATTTACTGTATATCCCAGATATTTAAATCGGTGTACTCTTTCAATACGTTCGTCTTCAATATGCAGGTCGATATGTTGAAATTTTTTTTTACTGATCACCATAAATTTAGTTTTCTTTCTATTGATCTTCAGTCCAAATCGGCTGCCAGTTTTATTAACTCTATGTAGCATCATCTGTAAATCTTCGATGTTATCGGCCAGTATAATAGTAGGTATCATCTGCATATCGAAAATTACTTATTGGTACGCCATTAATCTTGATGCCCTCATTGTACTCTTCTAGTGCCTCTAGAAATATTTGTTCCGTGTACAGGTTGAAAAGCAGTGGCGAAAGAATACAGCCCTGTCTTACCCCTCTAGAAATGGTTATGTTTTCACTCACCATATGTCCATTCTTCATGTGGGCTGTTTGATTCCAATATAGATTTTTTATAATCTGGATGTCCTTAGTGTCAAGTCCTGAAAGACGTAATAGTTCTATGAGTTTATCATGTTTGATAGTATCGAATGCTTTCTCATAGTCGATAAAACAGACGTAAACATCTTTCTGTTGATCCAGGCATTTTTGAATCAAAACTTGTATTGCAAAGAGGGGTTCTCGAGTTCCAAAACCGCATCTAAAACCGAACTGTGTTTTACTTATGCTGTGTTCTAATTTTGCTCGTATTCTGGAATGGATAATACTCAAAATACTTTAAGGGTGTGGCTCATTACACTTATAAGGCGATATTCACTACACGTCTTAAATTATATTTCTTGGGAAGGGGCACAAATGTAGATTTCATATGATTCTAATGAGATCACTAAAATGTATCACTTTTATTAACCGCTCACTATAGAATTTCCATGGTTAGAGCATAATCTTCAAAACCTATAATATGAAATTTCGGTTTTATTATATTGATCTAAATATTACTATGAATATCATTGATCTAGTATATCATTAGGTTTACATTTTAAGACTTTTAGCACTTACTTTTCATGTGATTCTATAAAATATTTAATCTTTAATTATATCTTTATTAAATATTGGATAGCATTGAATATTATTTTTTCTTTGCCGTCAAAAAGAGGCCAAAACAATTGAAACTAGATGTATTGTATAAATATTTTGTTTAACTACACATCCAGCTTAATGTATATTGAATTTTCGAACAAACGGATCTCATTAGAAAGTTTTAAAAATAACTTTGTGTAATCATAATAATTTCAGGATTATAGAACGTATACTACAAAGAACTTATCGTATATAGTATTTGAAGTAAAGACGTAAAACATTTTATATCCTTATTTAAAAATAAGGGTGAGTAATTGTAAAATTGTGATGATTAAATAATAACTGTTGCGTCAATATCGACGCCTGTATTTAATATTTTTGTTGTATACACATGTATTTATTTTGGTCGTATCTTGGAAAACTTAGTCAACATAATTCAACTGATTCAATGAAAAAACACGACTTTCAAATAAATATTTTAATGATACTTTTAAGTCTGGACGTCATATAGGATGGATAACAAATAAAATTTCATGAAAATTTTTGACGATAGTCTTTTCGCACAAAAATAATTCTGGTAGTTGAATACTTTAACGAAAAAGTAAACAATTGGGGATAATCCCTATTCGACTTAACAATGTACATTCATTGGTACTTTAAGTCACAGAAGCAGTTTTGAAATTAAGTTTTTGTAATGGTTTCAGTTTTATTTATTTACCAACAGTGTAGTAAATATTGCAGTAGTAGAGCTCAAAAAAATAAACATGATAATTGCCAGCACATACGAATGGTTGGATGTCGAAAAGCAAAAATCTGAATTTGGTTTCGACAATTAGAAATCTTCGGATTTCGAGTTTCGTGATTTATATTGATAGATTTTTATAGAACCGTAGGCAATTGTGTGCGCGTATATTCCAGTCTAGATTTTTAAATCCGGTCCTGATGCGCTGCTCGGAACAAACCGGCAACGTGGTCGGCCGTTCTCCCGTAACAAATACATTGCGTATCTTACATTCACTGCGGTCTAACTGTGGCTTCTACTATAGTACGAATGAAAACAAGAGCTAGAATCTCCAATGCAAAGAAAGTCAGGAGTTAAATAAGAAAGGTTTAATCTAGAAGCGTTCAAAATCTCTAGATAGCTAAGCGATTTGGGGAAATCTCGAAGGTTGGCCAGACAGGAGGTATATTGAAGGGACAGAAAGGCGAAAACGCGAAAAAATAAAGTCAGACTGGTACAATGAGGAATATGCACAAGCAGCACAAAAAATTTAAGCATATGTAAGACTCCAATGGTGAAGAGCGAGACCAGTAGAGGAAGAGTATAAGTAGCTGAGACGAGATGATTTACGAACTCTCAAAAGAAAGAGAAAAAAGATCATATAAAAAACCAACGCGATGACACAGTGTTACTTAGCAACCAGCCTAAATGATCTACAAGCCTTACTGGACCAAGTGAGAACTGTGAGCGTAACATACGGACTAAACCTTAATATTAAGAAAACTAAATTCATGGTGACACTATATCAACTATTCAATCAAGCTTCAAAGACAACAGATGGAATAAGATGATTATACACTGGAGACCATATAGTTACAAACGAAAAAGAAGAAGGCCACAAATGAGATGGTTAGATGACTTGAAGAAACACGCAGGCCCAAAGTGGATACAATCTGCCTATACTACAGAGACGTAGAAGAAGAAATAGAAGGCCTATGTCCAAAATTGGACAGCAAGGGCTGTGTAGATAGATAGATAGAAATTCATGGTTGTCAGCCGTGCAAATTTAGATCTCGGGGCACTAATGGCAGGTAGTGAAGAGATGTAGAGAGTCGACAGACTCATTTACCTCAGGAACTACCCTCAACTCACAATGGGACTACGCTCAAGAGATTAGATCCAGAATTGAAATGGCACGGTCTATATTTATCAAGTTGAGTTCCTTGCTGTGCTGCAGAAAACGGTGAAAACCCGTTTATATAGTTGACCAAATTATATCAAGTTATGGACATCAAGTACTACAGTTACCGCCGTATCACTGCCAGTTTATGTAGTGAAACGTATTATGATAATCACG